ATGGGATATATGATGGATGTAAATGAATGGCATGAGATGTATGAAGGTGTATACTGAACCTAACATTGGCATATTTTGGTAAACTATGCAATATAATTATGTTTAATATGTATTTTGGTGTTTAATTATAGATTTTGTCGTTCAAATGATCTACAATAGTTTGTATGTACATATTCGCGTGATTTGGTAAACTATGCAATACAAAGAATTAAAGAAAATGAGTATGTGCATATTCGTGTAATTTGTTGATACTCATCAATTGTGTGTATATTAGCAGCATGTTGATATACACCATGACACTATAATAGTTTGTATATACATACCCATGACAGATGATAACATAACAATCGTAACTCCTTTTTTTAAGAAATATCTTGCATTAAAACAACGAATATTATATGTAATACAATTTCATTTGTACAAAACACAAACATAATTTAACTCCATTAAGTCTCAAATATACATAATTTCTTCAAGATTTGAGTGCAAAAAAAGGAAAAAATTATAACAAAATTCATAAACACAAGCTTCTAAATTATGCCACAGTCAAGTTGTTTTCCCTTCACATCTTCTTCTATCTTTCTTAAATGAGCCTCTAATATCAAATTTTTTACTCTATCTCTAATAATGCTTTCATTAGCATCTAATACTTCTCTCTCTCCTTCAAATTCATCTTCTTCTCTCTCATTTTAGATTCCAATATCCTCAATTTCTCTTGGTCGACATTGGCCACCTCTTCCTTCAATATATCGTTTTCAAGTAACAATTTTCTGATCACCATTTGAGCTTGGGGAAGGAAGGACTTGTCTTTCCACTCAAAAAATTTGCATTTTGCTGTCATACGATAGTTGGGACAGCTAAAAAATGTTTTCCATAGTTCTCCATTGTGCATGATGTCTCCATGGTTGAAATTACCTTACAATAGCAAACCCTGGTGTCCTTCTCTCCATCCAAACTATAGCTTGAAGTAGAACTTGAAACCCTAGAGAACGATATCATAGTTCCTGCAAATAGCTCAGAGAAAGAGAAAGTAAATTTGGGAATTAGGGTTAAGTTTAATGAGAGAAGTTTATAAAAAGAGGAGGGGTTGGTAGAAATAGTACATAAGGCAATGAATGAGGTCAACAGCTACTTGAATATATCATACGAGAGCCACATGAGAATATTCTTTGGAATATTCTCACGTTTGACTAACGGAGGATAGTAACGTGCTAATATTCTGAAACTTGTATTTTTGTGCTACCTTTTACAACTTGTGGTATTTAAGTACCACATTGAGAAAACTTTATGGTATTTAAGTGCCATTTAGCCCTTTTTCAAGAATCTATAAAGCATATTTTCTATTGGATTGAAATTCTCATATTTCTTTCATGCTATATAGACTAAATCAAAGCACAAACATTTACATCCCAATATAATCTATCATTATCATAAACGTGAAGTACTCTCCACCATGGTTATAAATCATTTGAATTGTCAACATCATTGTTAACCTGAAATTTATATCTAATAAGATTCCATAAAAATGAAAATGCACATTAAAAAAAAAGAAGTCTTCAACTTCCATTTCACACAGGACACAAGTACAATCCTTTGAATCTCCTTTTTCAATAATATGGATTTAGTATTCAATTTAGGGTTAATTTTAGAAAACCCCCCTTAACTACGATGCTTGTCTAAAAATCCTCCTCAACTATTTTATCTTTAGAAAACCTCCTTCAAATTTGAGGGTGTTGTAGATAACCCCATCAACTTTTAAAGTATGACTAGAACCCCTTTAATAATGGGGTGTCTCATAAAACCCCCTTTATGTTTCTATCTTTTTCAAATAACCCCCTTAATATTATTAATTTGAAACATGCAGCGACTAAATTACCCTTGGTTATAAAAAATCATGTGACTTTAAAAACCCAACCCAATAAAAATATTAGACTTCGGTTCGATGAGTTTTGATGAGGAAACTAATCTTTAAAAAGTTTTCAATTGTTTCAAACATTACAAGCATGAATAAGCAAAAATTAAAGGAAGTTTAGTGTTTAAAAAAGAAAGAAAAAAAATTAGATTTACACGTAAATCTAGCAATGAAGATGGAGGAATAAGAAGAGTGGGGAAATAAAATGAATGTTATTTTTAAGGAAAAAATTAAAAAAGAACAATGTCGTAAAAAAATTAATGTCTTAGGGATAGTATGGTCATTTTAAATTATTTGTTTCTTTAGATTTAAATTATATTAGCTTAGGGGGTTAAATGAGAAAAGTTGAGGGGGGATAAATAATATTTTGAAAGTTGAGGGAGACTATATACAATAACTCTATAATTGAAGAGAGTTTTCTAAAGTTAGAATAGTTGACAGATGTTTTCTGAGATGAACCCCATTGTTGAGGAGGGTTTTCTAAAATTAACCCCATAAAACTACACAAGAAGTTTACTTTACAAGGAATGAGAGCACTTCACTCATCCTCTAAATCACATCTCAAGCCTCCATCACTAAAAAACTGATAACAAGATTGTTCTTCCACCTCCAGATCCTACAATCACTATTAGAGTTTAAGAGAAACATACTTGGTTTTATCTAGCATTTCAAAAAAATTGACACACAACAACTAGTTGGATTTGTCTAATAAACATTATATCCCAGATCCAACTTTCGACAATTTTCCTAGTAGACCTGATAGATGAATTTGGTTTGGTTGATAAATGATAAAGTTAGGATATAGAGAACCAAGAGATGGCTCATCACACTATTTACCAAGCCAAATGAAAGTATTATGCTCATTTCCTATAAGAACCTTAGTATTTACAATAAAACTATCTAGAGGTCTGCTTCCAAAATTTAGATATAATGGCTCTATTACTAGACAGTAAAGCTCCCCTTTTGTAATCATTTTAAAAAATTGTAATTTTGAAAAGAGGAAAAGCATTCTCATACCATCTCGAGAGTCACCTACAAATCAAAGCCTTATTCATAACATGCAAATCTAAAATTCCCATACCTCCACCCTTCTTAGGTTTATAAATATTTCTCCGAGCCACTAACTTTCTTGCTTCCGCTTTCGCATTTCATCCAGACCAGAAAAATCCCCTCTTTATTTATGGGTCACTCTTGACATAAAAAAAAGTTAATTGTGATGAGATTCTCTATTTTTTTTATTTAGCACAAATCAGAAAACTCCATTAAATAACAAATCAGTTATAGTTTATGAAGTGACCTCTCTAGTGTTTAATCACAATAGCCAGAAAACAAATATGAGATTCAGGTGAAATTCTCCATTAAGTCCTAACCAGAAAGATCACATTAAACTCAATCTAATGACAATGGGAAAGATGCTTTAATGACACAACATAGTGAGTGTTTTTTTTTGTTTGGCTGGGTTTTTTTCCTTTTTTTGAATTGGTTGGGGGGGGGGGGGGGGGTTTGGAAAATGAGTTTAGTTGGTTTTTCATCTTGTTTGGTAAAATACCAAATAACTTAGTTTATAAGCTCCATGTTTAAAAGCTATATACCTTATCTTTGAAAAAACTAGCTTATAAGCTCATCTAAATTAGCTTAGGTTTAACCAAACAAATTACTACTCTATCCAAATAATTCTTATATAATTTTTACCATAAAAATCAGAAGGCTAAAAAGAGCTAACGCAGCATAAAAGCTACTAAAAAATAAGCCTCCCAAACACCCTTATAAATGCTCTTCTCTTCTTCAGGATTTCGAGCTTCCTCCGGGAGTGAGATCTTTTCCTTCCGTCAAAAGAAGTGAGCACATGACTTGTGGACTTTAAGGGGGTGTTTGGTTCAATTTCTAGAAATTATAGGAAATGTTTTCCACCTAAAATATGATTTCCTTGTATTTCTTAAAAAAATTATAGGAAAAGTTTTGAGAAATCAAAAAGTACCAATTTTCTTGTTTTTTGTACTTTGCTTGTTTGGTTCAAAACAAGAAAATAGCTCATAACTTTATAGAAAATAACAAAATTTGGTAGGTTTTTAATTAAATATGGTATGTGTCAGATTTCTGGTGATTTTCTCTCATTTTGAGAGGAAATTGCTTTTTGTAAAATTTGGTAGATTTTGATATTTTATAAAAAATATTTCTGTAAATTTTTTGTTGAACCAAACACAATTTACAGAAATCTCTGGAAAACTTTTAATTACAAATTTGCTATTTTCAGATGTTTTGAGAAAAGTTTTCTCAAAAAGTGTGCAACCAAACAGCCCCTAAGAAAAAACTGCTCATTAAAAGAGAGTAAAATTCCATTAGAAGCCCACTAAAGTGGATGCAAAAAGCCCACGGGCCAATCCCCAACATCCGCAAACGAGTCCAAGTGCACTAGGGTTCCTTCGGCTCAAAGCAAAACACGAAGACAAAGGGGGAACAGGCGATAATGCGACCCAATAATAATAAATGATGAGGGGGGCGGGGCAGTGAATAAAATAATATTATCCGGTTCAGGACGCGGATCCGTGGTGCTATTTGAGTCACCGCTTTCCCATGACCTAAAACCCCTCTTTCTTTTTTCTCCGCTCCTCGCTGTGGTGTGGCGGCTTTATTTTCTCTCTCCTAGGGTTAGGGTTTTGTATCGATCCCCTCGCTCGCTCGTTGCCCTTCAAGTTAACCTCCTCCCTATCTCGAGATCTTGCCATGGCTGCTCTCTCTCTCTCTCTCTCTCTCTCTCTCTCTCTCTCTCTCTCTCTTTCTCTTTTTTCTTCTTGATTCTTGGTCTGATGATTTCGGGTAGGGTTTTGTTATTTATTGGATCTTTATTCGTCTGGGGTTTTCCCCCCCTGTTGTCGAATGATTTGTGGCGGGGTTTGTGGGTTTAATGGTTTGTTAGGGTTTACGGCTAGATTTCTACTAATTGGACGGTGATTCGCCGCGATTTTTTTTATTGATTTCGTTTGTAAGCTAAGAGATTTGATGAGCTGATGAGCAGTGCTCTTCTTGGGGTTTTCAATTTGGTTAGCCTTGGTACTTTTTTGGGGGGGTTTAGGACGAGTAAGGGGGAAAGGTTCTGTTTTTATGCTGTTAATGAGGACCCATCTTTAATTTGATATGGGCTTGACTCTGTCTGTTACAGAAACTAGTGATTTGATGAAAAAGCTCTCCTTGGAGCCCAAGACCAAAACCCACGATGCTGCTGAGGCCCCCAAGAAGGTAAATATATGGTCTAGATTTTTTTTTTATAATTTTAATTGGGTGTTGGGTTGATTGGGATGTGTTTTCATATGGTGTACTTTTAATTGATTTAGAATGCTCCTTTGAATGGTGGGAATAAACCGAATGCAGCCATCCCGCAAATGGACCGGTCAGTGACACCTGTACTCCAGAATACTGATCCTAACATTTGGTGGTATGCGCCCTATTTGTATGGAGGTGAGATATGCCGTCTCTTCTCTTTTGCACTCTGTAATTCATTTGGGGCCCTATTATACGTTACTGGATGCATATGCAGTTTTTTTATTGGTTACTATGTTAAGTTGCATGTTGTTGTTGAGCATGAAGATTTTGTGTCACTGCTTTGTAAATTAAATTACAATGCCTTCTTTGGCCTATTATAGTTAATCCAGATGCTTATGAATGTTGTCGATTGTGTTAATTCATCACTGATGAAACTGCTGTTTCCAGTGTTTTATCGCTTGTGTTTGTTGTGCTTGGTATATAATGCTGATTGTGTGAAAATTTGATGGGTTTTTAGGTTATGATGCGACGAGCGAGTATGAGGACTACCCTAGATATGATGGAGCGGAGATGCCACATCCTGTGAGTTATATTTGTAAATCATAATTAAACTTAACCGGTAATCTGGTACTTTTAATGTGAACTATTATTTGTGTTTTTTTATTATTGAAATGTTTGGTCATGCTGTTTATTATCTTTAGTACTAGTCTATTTCTTAGTTGGTGCAAATATCAATTAAAGTTTCTCAAGTGTTTCAAGTTTTTGGAGTTCCTATGGATTAACAATATTCTATATATGTAACAAAATAGTCAGAATGGAAATTTAATTAATGAGCAGAGGATGCATCTTTATCTTTTCAAATATATGCAACTTCATTTGGGTGAGGATTGCCCTGATTTTTTTTTCTTTGCAAATCCAGGGAGTTTATGGAGATACATATCCTGGTTATGGATTTGCTCCTTATGGTGTATATCCATCTCCTGGTTCCCCAGCTCCCACTATAGGGCTTGATGGCCAGCTGTATGGCCCTCAACATTACCAGTATCCTTCACCATACTATCAGTCACCCTCACTTGCAAATGCACCATACAGTGTTAACCAAGCTCCAGCATCGAAAGGAGAAGCTGTCTCTACCTCTGCTGCTCCAGACCAGCCACCTATTTCTCTTGATGCAGGCAAAGTGAACTCAAATGGAGTTGCTAATCTGGCTGGAAATGGGAATAATGGATCCGTACCGCCGAAAAGCCAACAAAATTCGTCAGTGACATCAAATGGTTCATATGGTAGAGGTGCCTTGCCAAATGGGCATCCTTCCACTGGTTACCAGGATCCTAGATTCTCTTTTGATGGAATGAGATCTCCTGTACCTTGGTATGATTCTGCTGTATACTCTGATTCTCAGCACCGACTGGGTACAAATAATGCTGTTTCACATGTTACGAACTCTACGTCTGGAAGAAATCAGAACTTGAGACCTCTCCCTCATGTCATGGTATTGACTATTTCCTTGCATAGTGTGTATAGTATCCTCAATACTACTTGATTCGATCGCATTATTTAAATTTATGCAAAGTGGGAGTAGGCAACCTTACTTGAATGCTTGTTTATTAGTATTATTTTAACTTTTGTTGCAAGGACGAATTTAGTATTTCTGAGTTTTAAAATCTCATTTTGTTATCTGTATTACCTTTTGATTTTAGGGTTTGAATAACTCGAGACCGACATCGGGGATGCCTGCGAGTTCGGGGATGTTAAACAGGATGTACCCAAACAGCAGGATGTACAATGCTTTTAATGCTGGTCTTGGATTCAGATCTAGCTTTTATGATTCCAGAACAAATGGGAGATGGGAGGTTGTGGATTCCAAGTACAAACCAAGAGGCCGAGGCAATGGATTCTATGGTTGTGTCAATGAGAACTTGGATGGTTTGTGTGAGCTGAATAGAGGACCCAGAGCTAACCGCTTGAGAAACCAGAAGGGATTAGGATCTAATGTCACTGTTGGAGTCAAGGGACAAAATCTTCTTACCGCCAATGGGAATGTTGAGGATTCTAGTGTAGTCCCTAATAAGGATCAATACAACAAGGCAGATTTCCCTGTAGATTACTCAGATGCTAAGTTTTTCATCATCAAATCTTACAGTGAGGATGATATCCATAAAAGTGTTAAGTACAGTGTTTGGGCCAGCACACAAAATGGGAACAAAAAACTGGATGGTGCTTACAAGGAAGCTCAAGAGAAATTGGGTGGTTGCCCAGTCTTTCTGTTCTTCTCTGTAAGCATGAACTGCAACTTTTCCTCGAATAGTTCTTATGTTGCTTTGACTGACATTTTTTCTAAACTCTCTTGTTTCCATTCCAGGTGAATACCAGTGGGCAGTTTGTTGGTGTTGCAGAGATGGTGAGTCCCGTTGATTTTAACAAGACTTTGGACTACTGGCAGCAGGATAAGTGGACTGGATGCTTCTCTGTTAAGTGGCACATTGTGAAAGATATGCCCAACAGCATGCTCAAGCACATAACTCTTGAAAACAATGATAACAAGCCGGTGACAAACAGTAGAGATACCCAGGAGGTGTGTATTCCTCTATATCAATGTTTAATACCATATGTGGATACCCTGGAGTGTTGGTTTTCAACTGCTTTTTTCTTTTTTTAATGCTACAGGTGAGACTTGAGCAGGGCCTTCAGGTTCTTAAGCTTTTCCAGGAACATGTCAGCAAGACTTCTATTCTTGATGATTTCAATTTCTATGAGACCCGCCAGAAGGTGATGCAAGAGAAAAGATCAAAGCAACAACTGTTGCATAAACAGGTACGATCCTGATCTCATTTTATGTTAGAATCATAATTTGCGGGTGTGTAATCCAGCTTCTTAGTTGAAAGCACATCTTGTTTCAGTAGCCACCTTGGTATAAATTTCTGTGCTGGACAAACGCCATGTAAAATGTTCTTATTATAGGGTTCTACTGAGATATTTCCAACAAATATCTTAATATCTTGTTCCTAATCTAGGGTAAGGTAAACTGTTTTCATTTGATCTCACAATATCAACTTCCTCAGGCAGCGGAGGGGAAGCCGGCGGTTTCTGTTGGTGAGAAAGAAAAGGATGGGGCAAACCCTAGATTGCAGACGTCACTTGAAGGAGTTACCCTTTTGAAGAAGGAAACAAACGTAGTTGGGCTTGGAGAAAGAAAGCCATCTGAGGAAAATGGTTCAACCACAGTGGCCATTGGAGATGTACAGAAAGTTTCTAAGCCTGTAATTGTTTCGAAGCCTGTGGCTAATGGTGTTGCTAGTGTGGCTGTTAGGGTTTCATCGATCCACTAGTCATCCATTGTGGCCCATTCATGGGATTTTAGTTTCATCGAGATATTCTGCAGACATCGAGAAGTTCAGAAGGCTGCAATATGTAACTAGTGGAGCTGACTTTTGAGGCAAATAAAGATCATCCTCGGCAAATTGTTGTGTTGAGTTGCATTTCTTTTCTCTCACCGTCCCTTTACGTAAGAAGTGGGGAATCTATATTGCATTAGGTCTTTCTTTTCCCAAAGTTTCTCTAGGATATAGGAGTATGCTGTAATGGGGCTTTATGTTTGGTAAAGGTTGCTCGATAGTTTTCATTTTCATTTTTAGTTTGAAGTTTGAACCTTTTAGGATTGTTTCTGTCAAGACTTCTCTTTTGTAAATTGGTCATTGCCTGTTAGAGGCTTTGTATCTTTAAGAACCTGAAGGTAAGATTAGATAGTATTTGCAATTAGTATTTGGAGAGCAAGTGTTTTTGCTGATTTACGTTCTATTTTTCCTTTGTGCTGTCATTGGGTTCCTTAACGTGTATGTATACGTTGCGGTTTCATTTGCCAATCGTCGTATTCTCTTATGCGATCAATCCGGGTAATCGGATAAGGTAATGGTCTTTACCGTTACGTGTTGTAATCATAGCGTTGTTATCTGAACTGTGTGCGGTATGGATTTTTGATTGCCTTGTGGTGCATCTTCTTCCTTATCTTCTGTTCGGTATGGATTTTTGATTGCCTTGTTGAGCATCTTCTTCCTAATCTTCTGCTCGTTCAGACGCGAAGCTGTCTTCCCTATTGTTCAGAGGCGAGGTGTCTTGTTTGCGGAATAGACAATTGAATACTAACGCATGATACAGTCTGGTTCTTTCAACCGAAACTATCGATTTCTGCTCAACAGAACTTTGAATTTGCGAACAGAGGCGTGTAAGTGGTTTTGGCCTCATGGGCCAAATCTGTAACCCGATCCGTTAAGAATCCAACCCGGTTGTTGGGAATATCCCACGTTCTGGGATTTCTTCCGTTAGAGAACGGGTCTTACGGAGAAATTGGTTTAGAGAGATACTGGGGCAGATTTTTTTGGGGACGGAGGCATTGAGAGAATGCCTATAAATTGAGAGGAGTTCTTCTCCTCTAAACACACAGAAAATCGATCTCTTCTCCTGAGTCCCAAAAAGAAAAGGATTCTCTGATTTTTTCCCCCCTTCACTGGTATCAGAGCCATTGATCCCCAAATCACATTTTTCTTCCCACCACCAAACTCCCAAACCAAAGCTTTCTTGTCACATCTCCTTCCCCCTCCTCTGAGCTCGCCGAGGAAGCTTTCATAATGATCAGCTACTTATAATTTTAAAATTTAAAAAGGGTTATTTGCAAATAGACCTCATTTACTATCGCCGTTTCCCACTTACCATCCCTCTAGTTTCATTGTTGCAGCTAACCCCGCTAGGTTAAATATTTCTTTTGACAATTTTATTCTTGGTGAAAATTTGGCGAGTATTGCTTCTAGGTGAAATTACTATTAGTGAGTCTGCGGGTTAAAGAGTTAAAAAAAGAAAGAGGTCGGCCTGGGTTTTTGGGTGGGTGTTCTTTTTTCCCCTTCCTGCTTAACATCGTTGCAGCTCCAGTTGTTAGCGGTATAGCAAGAATATCGAAATCTTTAGGAATCTGCAGTAAAAAGAGAAGAGAGACTTTCATAATGATCAGCTACTTATAATTTTAAAATTTAAAAAGGGTTATTTGCAAATAGACCTCATTTACTATCGCCGTTTCCCACTTACCATCCCTCTAGTTTCATTGTTGCAGCTAACCCCGCTAGGTTAAATATTTCTTTTGACAATTTTATTCTTGGTGAAAATTTGGCGAGTATTGCTTCTAGGTGAAATTACTATTAGTGAGTCTGCGGGTTAAAGAGTTAAAAAAAGAAAGAGGTCGGCCTGGGTTTTTGGGTGGGTGTTCTTTTTTCCCCTTCCTGCTT